ATCCTCCCGCGAAACCGCGCGCCGCAGACATTGCCATGCGCGCAGCTGCGCCGCCGTCACCGGGCACGCCCTGCGCCCACGTCTTCGGCCCTGGCATCCCTCCCCCACCCCTCAAGACATACGCTCTCTGCCTCACACACGCTCACACATCCACACACTCAAGCCCACAACACACCCACAACCACACACACAACGACACACACACAACACACACACACACACACCCGCACACACCACGCTCTCGCGCAGTGCGGCCGCGGGTGGCCCTGGTGACGTGGAGGTGACGCTGCTGCCTGAGGAGCTGGAGGGCCTGGACGAGGCGGCCGTCAAGGCGCTGTACGAGGAGAAGGCCGCCGAGATGAGGGTGAGGGGCCGCTTTTTCCGGGGGAGGGGGGCCGCTGTGTAGCGCGGTTTGCTTTCTGATCGCGCATGTGCGTGTGTTTGCTCGACGCATGTGCCTGATTGTGATGTCTTGATGCGTCGTGGCGCCCCCCTCTCACAAACCTGCGCACCCCAACTTCCCCTTGCACGAACCCCGACCCCAGACAACTTCATCCATCCTGACGCCTCCACCCGCCCCACCCTCGCTGCGGCCCCCCCAGGCCGCCCAGCGGAAGGAGGACTTCTCGGACATGGTGGCGGCGCAGGCCTCCCTGCAGAAGCGCAAGATCCAGCAGCGCGCCGACGCAAAGGCCACCAAGAAGGGCAAGGGCGGCGCCGGGGCAGACTTCAAGTTCTGAGGGGTCCACGGGGGCGCCTGCCACGGGCCAAACGGCGGCTGGCTCGGGGCGCAGGGGGCGTGCCGGCGCCTGCGCGCGGGTGCCCTGGGCGCGGCCGCGGCCCCGGAGCTCCGCAGGGATGGATAACTGTCGCTTGTCATTGGGTGCAAAATGTTCCGGTGGCGCCCCTGCACCCTCTGTGTTTAGTTGACCGGGACGCCACCCAGGCGTGTGGTGCGCTCTCGGCGGCCTCGGCCTTCCTGAAACGCGTACGAGGTTGTGCGCCACACCGCAACTGCCCACTGGGCTACGGCTGTGCGCGGCCTGCTTGCATGGCTGCGTGGTTTTCTGGCTCGCCATACGCGGCGCGGCCCACGCCTCCTCAACCCTCTGCTTCGTCTGTATACACACAGCTAGGTATCAAAGCGTCGGCAGTCAATGCATGTCATCGTTGGGCGTGTTGATATGCGCTCGTGCGCGCGAGTAATATGCCCATCACACATGATTGACCGATGTTTGACCTGGCACATGCAGGCTCGACGGCCTCAGCCATGCCAACTGATGACCCTACAGGTACTTGCTAGGCCGATGGAACGTAAATGTACAGTCGCAAAGGGCAGCGCTGCATTTCAGGCTAGCAGCGAATGGCTCATCCCAATTCGGCGTGTGTCGAGTGCTCGCGCATGATGCATAATGTGCGCTGCCTGAATGCTGACACGCTTGATCGCAACTTCAGCGAGTTCTCCAATCGAATGCTTCCCGTCGCACTGGAGCGAACGTCGCTCAACATTGATCTACAGAGATACGTATGACCAGTAACGCTCCGAGACCCTGGACTTCAGCGCGATAGCCTATTGGTCCGTACACAGTGTTCGTAAAGAGACACGAATGTTCTACGTTGCCCACATACCAAAACATGCAGACTGTACGCCAGACGACCTTTGCCAGGCATGGCAGGGGGGGGGTGTCTAGCGACCAAGCCTCCTAGCACATTGCATAGGCTGACCATTGACAACACCCCACGCAGGCATGCGGCTCGTCCCGGGGTGATCCGACGGGTGGCGCGGGCCGTCCACCGTGTGGACGCCCGCATGATCAAGGATTCTAAGAGCAACGCGGAGTTCCCACTGGCACAAAAGTTCTGGTGCGGCGATGGCTCATGCGCCGCATCAAAGCCACGCCCAGCAGGCGCGACACACTTCCCCGCTATGGCGCTGCACACGCCGTCACGCCGTCCGCAAGCGGGCGGCGCCTGGCCGATCGAAGCCCCACCAAGCCCCCATCTGCTGCGCCGCAGGGAGGGCGAGGAGATGCGGTGCCTGGGTGCGGGCACACGCGTGAAGAAGGTCCTGGTGGTGGGGGTTCAGGTGAGACAGCCGTCCAGCACCCACCCGCAAGGGGTTGCAGCCGTGGCGCAGGCGCCAGGGCCCGCCGAAGACGGCCCCTGAAGGGGAACGCCGCCAGGCGATGACCCGGCTGCGGCGGCAGAGGCCCGCTGGCCGCCCCTCGCCCGCGGCGCGCCTCTTTGCAGTGCCCGTGTCTGGGGTGCGGGTGAGCCAAAAGTGGCAGTTCAACTCGTAAACGAGGGAGTTGAAGCAGCGTCAGCATGCCCAGGCGTTTTCATGCGCACATGCGGCCGTCCAGGTGTACTCTGTGGCGGTGTATGTGGAGGCAGAGCGGTGCTCCAAGGAGCTGGGCATCCGCGCCCGCGGCGGCTTCTTTGAGAACGACGGCGACTTCTGCGCCGCGCTGCTGGACGGCGCCTTTGGCAAAGCCCTCGTGGTGCGGCCCGCGCCCCGCGCCCCAGGCATGCCTGCCTCACAACGCATGGACGCGCCGCCCGCCCGGCGGCGGCTGGAGGCCTGCGGTTTCACTGCTGCCTCAAAGGAGCCGTCGACTGATTTCAGGCCTGATTAGCAGGCAGTTTTTGATGTTCGCGCTGAGTGAGCAGGCAACAACGTGCGTCCCTCGGACCTACGGTGCCGCAACCCGCTCCTCCGCAGTTCAAGCTGCTGCGCGATATCACAGGGCAGCAGTTTGCTGAGGCCATCGACGAGGCGCTGGCGCCGCGCGCCAAAGTAACAGGTGGGCGGTCGTTTCAGATTGCCGCGCGCGGCCGCGGGCGATGGGGGTTGAGGAGCGTGCGCTATGGGAGGGAGGGGGCAACCTGTTGAGCGTTTGAAGGCGGCGAGGGTGCGCAAGGGCAGGTTTTGAGACACCGTGCTTTGGAGCTGTCAAAGGGCGCAACCAGCTGGGCTGGAAGTTGCCACAGGACATCCCAGCCCCTGCGAGCCTAGCCGGCCTGACCTCACCGCCCAACACCCTGCCGCCCGCGGCCGCCCCCGCAGGCGACTCCGCCTCGCTGCAGCAGTTTGGTCAGTTCTTCGCGTCGCGGCAGCTGCCCAAGGACACCCAGGTGGCGTTTGTGTGGCCCCTGAAGGGCGGGGAGGCGGGGGAGCTGCAGGCGGAGGTCGTATTGCCGGGAGAGGCCAAGGACCTCGTCACCACCGCACCAGAGGTGAGTAGCTGGCGTAGCCACGGGGCTGGGGCCGTTGCGGGTGACGGACGGGCGGTTTCGGTTGTCTTGCCGTCGTGCTTGCAGAGGGGTTGCCGTGCCGCATCCCCTGGCGCTCGGCACGCGGGGTGCGGTGGGGGACGGGCATGGAGAGGCGCTCCATGGCAGGGCGGCCCTGCTGCTTGGCGGCCTCCTCTTGGGAGGCAGCATCCTGATGTGGCAGCCAGCTCTCGCAGGGACACGCTCGTTTGCACGCTTTGTCATGAACCTGGCCCTCTCACAACGTTGCCTGCCATACGCGCCACCACTGCGCCTCCGCCTGAACCCTCCTGCCGCAACCTCCTGCCTGGCGCAGCTGCGCATCCCCTCTCCCGGCCTGGCGCGGGCGCTGTTTGAGCTCTACCTGGGCGACAGCTCCGTGGTGCCCGAGGGCCGCCCCGCGTGGGCCGCAGGGGCCAGGGAGCTCCTGGACTACGATGCCGTCAAGAGGGACACCCGCAAGGCCGGGGCTTAGGGCGGCCCTGACTTTGACCAGATCTTGACCACGGGTCAGACTGATAGGATCGGCGTGCGCAAGGTTTTTTGTCGAGTTGCGCCGCGCCGGCGGGTAGCTGTAGCGCAGCCGTATACGTCCAGACGGGAGGGGTTTGTAGCTGCCAGCAGCACAGGCCGGTGTGAAGGCGTGCAGTGCAGCGTGCGCAGGGGTGGGGCGCGGTGCGGCGCTGCCGCTGCGCGGCTGCAATCGCGGGGGTTCAGGGCGCTGCGCGTGCTGGTGCGCCCTTTTGCGGCACGATTTTGTCCCACGCTAAGTGCTTGCTCCAATGATTTGTATGCATCCCGTTGTAAAGCCAATCTCAGTTGCAGCGCCGAGCATGGTTGCAAGGATGCATCAGTGCGACTCAGTGCTGGGAATCGACGTGGGTGGCCCAGCCACGCAGGCGCAAACCGCCACGCCCCGTCTCTCAGCGCGCGCAACAGCTATCCCAAGTCTCTGATGTGGTCTGCATGCGTGGAACGTGGAATCGCCATGCAGTTACCCTACAGGGCTGCGGTGCACGCAGTTGTGCCTTCAAGTCTTGCGATGTGGCGGGCACGGCAGGCCCGCCCTTGGCCGGCTGCCGCTGTCTCTGGGTGAAGGTCATAAAAGAGGCGGTGCCCCAATGATGATGAATTAATTATCCTTCACTGCCTATCATATCATCGATACAATTTCGTTGGCAGCGCGAAAGGTCGACCAAACCGATTGTGATTATTGTAGGCCGGCCCGCAGCCATGGCCCGGCCCCAAGTAGTGCTTGTCACCGGTTGCACCACGGGCGGCATTGGCTGGCACCTCGCGTCCCAGCTGGCTGCGCGCGGCGCGACTGTTTATGCCAGCGCTCGCCGCCTTGCAGCGATGGAGGGCCTCGCGGCAAAGGGCTGCCGCTTAGTGCAGCTGGATGTGACCAAGCCCGAGACGATCAAGGCCGCAGTGGACAAGATTGTAGGGGAGAACGGTCGCATTGACGGTGAGTGAGGATCAGTCAGCAAACATCACTGAAGCAACAGCCGTGCATGTGCGAGGTCGTCGACTCGGGCGGATGGCCGGCCACAAACCCGGGAGCGGGCCACTGCTTGTGCAACAGCTCCTGTGAGACTGATATCTGACCGTCGTTTTGAGCATGCATGCATGCAAGCATCCTGCATGTGCATGCATGGGACTGTGCACATTCACAATGCAAGGGCAATCCAACATGTTCAGGGCCCCCAGCGTGCGCAAGGCAACCCCCCACAGCCCACAGTGGTGTGAATCATTGATGCATGTGTATAATATGCATACACGCATGTGCGCGTGTGCGTGCACACACATACACACACACACACACACATGCTGTACACATGCACATACATACAGTCACACCCCACTTTCCACCAACAGCCACGAGCTTATCCACCTATCTCCCTGCCTCCCCCAGTCTTGATTAACAACGCAGGTGTGGCCGTGCGCAAGCCGGCGCTGGACACACCCCTGGAGGAGGTCAGGGCGATGTATGACGTCAACTACTTTGGTGTGGTGGCGGTGAACGACGAGGTGATGCCGCACATGGTGAGCCGCGCGATTGCGAGAGCCCCAATGGGCACGTGCAGCAATCAAGATGTGCTGGTGTGGTGAGTGCGGGGGCGGGGAGAGAGAGAGAGGCGAGGGGGTCAGGAAGCAAGGCGGGAGGTGCGCTGGTTGAGGCGCATGGCAGCTGCTTGCGGGGGCCGCAGCACCCTCTCTTTTGAGCCTGCTGCACCCAAGTGGAAATCAATGTCAAGGCGCGTACTGCTGCCTCCACCCCAGGTGGAGCAGCGGTCGGGGAAGATACTCAACCTGGGCAGCGGCCTGGGATACACCGGCCTCCCGACAATGAGCCATTACAGCGGTGAGCGTGCAGGGCCAGCCTGCAGGGCAGGAGGGGGTGCAGGGCGCCGGCGCGGCAGTGTGAGGCGCGTCGCGAGCCCATGCGCAGACCATGAGGCACCCTGCATGAGGCCGCATGGCGCCCCGCACAGTGCCTGGATGGCCCCCACGCTCATGGTCCCGCTGAGAACGAGCCCGGCGCTCTTGCCCGCGCTCGCGCGCTTGCCTGCAGCCGTGAAGCACGCCGTGCGCAGCTACACCGACATGCTGCGGATTGAGCTGGCCCCATTCGGCGTCCAAGTGTGTTTTGTGGCGCCAGGGTGAGCAGGCACTGCCACCCCATGGGGCCCTGCCGCCCTGGCCATCATAGCCGGGGCCGCCTCACCCACCGCCACCCCTCCTCCCGTGGACTTCAACCACCCGCATCGGGGGTGCATGCGTTTTCACAAACAGTCGGGCTGCCTCCAAGGCCATCGTTGGCCTTGCAGGGGCGTGCCTCTCATCAGCGGCCCTCCCCACCCCTCCCTGCCCTAGCACCAACCCGCTCTGACCTCGCCATCCTGGCACACCCTCTCAACCCTCCAACCCGCAGGTACATCCGCACCCACATCGGCGACGGCTACGAACTGCCAAAGGGCAGCATCTACCATGCCTTCCCGCGCCTCGCGAACGAGCTGTCCAAAACGGTGTTCATCGGAACCACATTTGAAGCCGCCACCCCCGCCGACGTGTTCGCGTCGCGCCTGGCAAAGGCCGTACTGGCGCCGCGCATCCCGAGGTGTGCGTGCGCGCGCAAGCATGCATGTGTGCATGAGAGGGACAGCAGGGATCGCAGACGATGGCTGACAGCAGGCCACGAAGGGCAGCAGGCGTAGCCTCCACCTTCCTGCATCAAGTTTGACGTCCGCCCATGCTAGGCGGCAGCAGACGGATGCCACTTTGCTGCCCCTGCCGCTGCTGGTCCCTGCGGACTGCGCCCGATGCGCACCTTTGCAACGCGCCCTACGACCGACTTGTCCCGCTTCAGGCACTACCGAGATGGCCATCTTGCCATAGTGCCGTGGCTAGCGTCCATGTTTGTGCCGCTGTGGATCTACGAGTGGGGCTTTGCCCTGCGGTACGGGATCACCCCAAACTCAATGGTGGGGAGGCCGTTCTCAAAGGATAACAAGGGGAAGTGAAGGCCTGGGTGGTGGCACCCTGCTTGAAGAGTTTTTCGTGAGGGTGTTTGGATCCACTAGGGGTTAGTGGATCCAATGGCTGCATTCCACCGGAAGCGGCCGGATTGTGCCTCGCAGGCAACCATCAAATGTTTCCAGGGATGAAACCTCGCTTGGAATGCCTCTGATGAGCGGTCGTCAATTCTCGGTTGGTTGGTCGGTTGGTTGGTTGGTTGGTTGGTTGGTTGGTTGGCAGCCTGATGTTTGCAACTGCAATGGTCATGCAGCATTCAATGCAGAAGATTGTCATGTAGCTCAGCGTACATCCGGTCTTTCTTTTGTACCATTTGATTCTTTGCAGCATTGACAGCTGAAAGTGCTGCTGCTGCTGCTGCTGCTGCTGCTGCTGCTGCTGCTGCTGCTGCTGCTGCTGCTGCTGCTGCTGCTGGCTGCTGGCTGCTGCTGGCTGCTGCTGCTGCTGGCTGCTGCTGCTGCTGGCTGCTGCTGCTGCTGGCTGCTGCTGCTGCTGGCTGCTGCTGCTGCTGCTGCTGCTGCTGCTGGCTGCTGGCTGCTGGCTGCTGGCTGCTGGCTGCTGCTGGGCAATGACAACCGGCTGCCTGACTGGCTGGCTGCCTGGCTTGCTAGCTGGCCAGTCGAATGAGCGAATTACTCATTGACTGACTGAACAGCCTGACTGGCCTGACAACTTCCAACCCTCACGCGTGATACACGCATTGTGTAATGGAGGGGCGGCTTTGTTGTTTCAGTCCGACTTGTAGTTGGGTTCAACTACCCTTACAGATGGCCTTGGTAATGCTGCTGATGACCAGGCCATCGACACGTGGTCAAATAGTGCTTGATGGGCAGTAAGGCATAAGGTGAGGGCTCAGGTATGCTCGCAGATTGGCCCGGCCTGCACGCCAGGTGCCAAAAGTACGAGGCCGCAGCGCTACCGCCTGCCCCTGATGTCTATACATGTTGGATGCATCTCATCAAGGGGAAGAAGCCCCAAGACGGAAGCCTTAACTGCAGGATGCGGGCAGCCATACCGGTCTGAGTTGGTCCATCAGTGCACTCAGCGCGGCTGCCGGGGTCGCTCACAGGTTTGTGTTTTGAGGCTATTCCAGCCGATTGACAGGGTGGGCAGGGGACAGCTTTTGCAGTCTTGGATGCGTGGGGCTCGCATCTCAGGTGATTGCACTGCATTTTTCCACGTGGTCATGCACCCCGGGGTGGGATGGGGAGGAGGCCGTGCCCTTGCGTTTGGGGTTGCGCAAAGGGTTCGCAGACACATATTGCTGCGGTGCATGCACCCTGCTTTTGCTGCTGCATGCTGCAGCTCCTTGACAGATGGAGGTCCCCTGGCGTTGCCGCGGCCGTGCCTGCAGCTTACCTCAGGGCCTAGTGTCGGTTGGGTCGTCAGCAGCACTGGCTGGGGTGGAGACAGTGAGAGGCAGTAAGAGCCACCTGGCCCCTACGTGTGGCAGGAATGTATAATTGCAAGTTGCTGTGTGTGTTCACACGCCACACTCATCGGCCTCTACCCCGAAGGTTTGCTGTTGGCTTGGGTGGTGCAAAACACGTGTCTCCATTGTGCTGAGGCGTGGGCGTGCTCAAAGTCTTGGTGGAGATAGTCACACCGCATGGGTGGAGCGTGTGCGCACATGCGTGCATACCATGCGCGGGTGCGTCCGTGCGTCCGTGCGTGCTTGTGAGTGTGTTCGCGCAGATACACACAGTATGCACGCGTTGTTTATTGCGACTGAGGTGTGCGTTGTTAGAAATGTCCTTGGCAGCACTGAGATTTTCAATGCGCCGGGTATACAGGAGCGCGGATGACGGGCTGGCCGCGGCTGCAGGGCTGTGGGTGTGTGCCGGACTGCAAACAACGGCATGAGCTGCAGCGCGCTCCGGGGTGACGTTGCCATGGGTGCGGCAGGTGTGCTGGAAGAGCCCACACAGCAGGCTTGCATTCTGGTTGCGTGAGCGTGACGCTTCTTCCAGCGCGTCTTCAGCGAGCAGTCCGCGTGCCGCTTGCAGCTCGCTGCGCTTGACACCGTCACAGCCAGAGGATCCCCCAGCCAACGCCTTTTTGGCCCGATGTCTGGCAACCCCTCGACCCGGGCCGCCAGTCTGAGAGCATGGGGAGCTTCGCTTGATGTCTAATGGGCCCTCACATCGGTATGCGAATGGGGTGACACCTCGATGATGACATTCAGGCGGCACTGGTGTGGGCGTACGCAGGCTGGGTGACCAGCCCGCTGCTGCCGCCCAGCGGCAGCAGCAGGGACGCTTGAGGTGTCCTTCTCCACCCCTGCGTGATAGACTTCAGGCACCCGGAACGCAGTTCTTCAATTGCATGGCAGGCTCGTCACACCGGCGTCCAACCACCCAGATGCGACTGTCATCATAAACGCACGCAGCGGACGACCTCACGGCTGCGCGCGCAATTCGTAGCCCCGTAACTCGCGCTGAACCAAACATTATTCATATCGCCAACAAGAGCCCGGTCAAGACCGCCGGCGCAGTGTTGCACCATCAGGGAACCCCCACACGAATCACACGGCTCAATTTGAACTCTTGACTTCTCAGAAAGGCCTACGGGCCGGGCACTAGACAACCATGTGCTTCTCCATAGAGATCACCGCGTTCATGGCCGCCCTGAACTTGGGGACCGGCCTGTTCCTCACAAAGCGCGGCCATTGGCTCTCACGCACCCAGGTATGCCACCGCGAATCTGCCCGGGAGGATCCGGGTGCCCTCCAGTGCTGCAACTGTGAGCTGAAGCGTGGCCACGCGGTCAGCCATGCGCCTGCCCCTCAGGATACTGCTGAAGTGCATGTCCATGCTGCTGCAGATATTCTACACGTTCTTTGTCATGGAGTCCCTGCAGTTTCTGCAATATCTTGTCTTGGACGACTGCAATCACTGGCTGAACCAGCTGGCGACCCTGGTGAGGCAGCGCGCAGGTGCACCGCCGCCGGGTCACCTGCCCAAAGCGGCCGCGCCGTCCCTTGAGCCGTGCCATTGGCAGCCGGTGCCGCTAGTGCCTCGTAAGCTGGATGGACCAGCTGCTCCGGGCAGGCGCCCAGCCCTGGCGATGTGGTCACCCGCTTGGGCGAACCGTCAGCATGGGGCCGAGAGCATCAGGGCAGACCGGCCGCGCGCGCATTGCTGTCCAGACGCCCACGTGTGCCAACGGGGGGGGGGGGCAGCTGCATCATGGCGGCAACCCATGCGCAACACACACAGCACCCTGCAGCCCCCCCCCAAACCGTGCGACACCAGGCCCCGGCCAACCTGTCGCGCCTCGCC